CCAGCTCATGGCATCCATACCCGCCGCCCTCCTGGAGGCTATAGTCGGCGGTAACCTCTGCATCGCTGCCCGGTCAAACGATGACATCGACAATCTCCTCTACGACTCAAAGTCGATGTGGCACATCCGAGCAAACGACAAGAACGCACCAGGGATCTATATCCGATTTCTTGTCGACAAGGACGGCAACGCACCCACACCCAACCAATACCTCCGGGTAGCCAAGAGACTTCGGGACTATGTCTCTGGCGATGACCAATCATTTGAGGCGGCAGCAAGCCTGGATAACATAAAGGGAACGACCAAGGCCTCTGGGCGGGATATCAGCAAAGGTCATTACCGCTTTCTCAATGGCTCCGAGCAGAGAGTCATGCAGATACTGACCTGGTGCACCGCACTCGAGGACCGCATTCATGAGCTTCCTGCGGATGAACTTGATACGCCTATGCAGCGGCCATGCACCTACGTCGGATATTCTGTGTCGGTCTCACAACGTCTGCACGAACACGACGAGGGAGGCACCAGTTGGTTCCAGCACATGGTGCAGGCCGCGTTCCAGGCAGAGGTCGATTACCCACTGTTCAGCTTCGAGGGCCATGCAGTCTGCTTCCTGCAGGAGAGCGAGGCACCAGTCGCCGAAGTTCTCATCAGTGTGATTACCGACAGCATGATCGAGACTGGTGGCGGCTTCGGCGTTTACCAAGCAGGGATTCAGACAACGAGCGCATTGCTTGGGCACCTCCCCGCCCGTGAATGGCCTGGTGTTTGGAAGGCATGCGCGCGATGGCGGGAAGATCAAAACCACAGCGACGGGAACCTGTTTCGGGAGCGCGCACTGCTGGAAGCGCACCACGCAAATCCTACAGCCGCGTCCAATCAGGTAAGCCAGAGCGCGGATGCCATCCGGCGAGACATTACCGCGCTCGAGGCAGATATCACGAGGCTGCAGCGTGACGCTGATGACTACGATGGCGAGGCCGCGCCAGAAGACGACCTCGATGACAAAATTCAAGAGCTAGAAGATGCCATGAACGCCGACGATCCTGATTCTGACGATGACTCCGAAGCTCGCCAGTCTTCCAGGGCGGTGGTGGAGATGCTGAGGCGAAGGCAGGCAGCGAGGACGGCATAGCGAGGCGGTCAGAATGGGCAAAAGACTAGAAGTGGAATTTGCACTGCACCAGGCACTGTGCGATGGTAGATCTGCGATGACCCAACAACAACCCTTAGATAGCTTGGCGAGTTTCCTAATTAGGCAAGTTCCCAAAAACCATTGATTGCTTATGCTTGATGACCACAGTAACTCGTGGCCTACCTTGACGCGTCTGCCATCGGAGACTGGCATGCAGGACCCAATTCCATGTATTCCCTTCTAAAGTCGCCAGGACGAGGTTCAATACAGGAATGGCGCAGTCGCAACAGGCGGAACCGTGACGAGTGTCTTGAGAGGTAGAGGTTCTTGGAGATGCGATACTTCTCTCTTTCGTATGAAATGCGGGAGGTGTGGTTTGCTCGTCGTCTCATGTGCTTTGTATGTTACCGATGCCGTACGAGAAGCACGCTCGCCGAACGTATCTAGCGATATGTCTAAATCAGTCAGCGTAGATGGCCATCGCCAATATTGCGGACTCGACATCTTTCGGCCAGGTCTCCCACCCGCAACATCCACCACAGGCTCTTTTCGTTCGACAGTTGCAACAATAACCTTACGCGAGTACATTCTCCAGCGCCACATTTCCAACGCGTAAGATAACAAAATAGAAGACATTGCGCTCTTGTGTCAGCCGTTTTATTCGTTCGCGATGGATATTGAAAATTAGAGGGTATTTGGTCGCAAGGGTCTTCAGCAGTACCATGGGATCCAAGTGCGGTGCGGCCATCTTCCGACCCACAACTGCCGAAAGCCACATACACGTATCCAATCAGGTCCTCTCAAGAAGAAGTATCGTCGACACAAGAGCTAGGAGTGGAGGTGACGATACTAGGGTACAGTTTCGCGCCAAGCGGTGTAGGCAACATTGGGATAGCGACAACATGGAGATACAGACGTAGCCACGGGACGTCCTCGCGTAGCACTTCAAGGACAAAGCAAAAGAGGCACGATATTCACGTGAACTATGGCGGTTATACGAACTTTTCCGCCTCAGGGCGAGTCACGATACCTTGGAATTCACTCGATTCACAGACGCTGCGAGCGCGCCACACGACTCCCGCAATCCGTCGTGATCTCTCACAACGGCACTCTTCTAATGAATGATATGATAATCGTCAGACCCATGCGGGACTATGACGGTGCTCAATGTCAAAAGCTCAGTGTAGTCGCTGGAAATGCCGCGGTTTACCTGACTACAGCGCGGCAGACTACGACCAGACCTTTGGCAATATCAACTTTGACGGCCTCTGCAGGGCGCATTTGCTGCCCAGATAGCCTTCTAAGGTTACATGCTGCGCTTTATCAACCACCTCACTAGACGCGCCCGCAGACACGATTATTGGCGATGAAAGTTGCCCCCAGCCCGACCCGAACAACCAGCAATGCCCTCCCCCATAGCTTTTACACTGCTGTTTCTCACCGGATAGATATGTTTGGCTTGCTATGACTGACTTCGAAGAATAGATTGACTTTTAAAGCTCACCGGTAGTGAGTCGCCAACTACGATGCTGGTGTCTTTTCGCTCCGCAAGCACGCTACTACAAGACGGTGGCATGTTTCGTCACCCTGGAAGACCTCGACCTTGCGATCGTGCAGTCTCGACATATATGATGGGGGATGCTGGCCGAGTCAATAATTCACTAACAGTCGTCGGCCTATTTGCTTGAGCGACACAGGCGACGTTCTTGCTACCAGCCCAGCATTGCCCGGAGTAGAGACGTGTCTTTGCGGTCTCGCCGACCACACACAGCGTAGGCAATGTTGCCGCTGAACACAACGGTCATGAGAGGCATCCGGAGGCCTTCCTCGTCCCTTCGACATGTATTTGAATCCCGAACAGGTCTGCGAGGTAGAGCGCCAACGCTATAAACCCTCGGCGGTACCCACAAGAATGCCCACTGGGAATTTACATAAGGCGTTGAATCAGTACCATCATCGCAAACACCGTCATGAGTCAAGACACGAATGTAAATCAAGAGAGGATGACGACACTATTTTATTCAGTAATCGAGCTACGTACTTGTTCCTTGTCCCGCCCATCTCTCAGCGACATTTGTCTGTCCAGATGTACGTAAGTTGTCCCTACTCCTCTCAAAAACCATCATCAGTGTCTGTGTGGACTGAGGCCGCCCCTTCCTTACGAGTCATCTCGACACCAGCGGGCTGAGGGTCCCCATGGGTAATCTCAGGAATCTCGGCGGTAGCGCGCTCCATATCGACCTCAGTCATCGCGGCAACAGCAGGATTGGTAATCATCTGAGCTTCTGCCCATGCTTCGGTTGGTGTCATCTCCGGACCTGGTGCCTTGTCTGAAAATGAGCCGTCCTCGTTGAGCATGCGATGCTTCCGGGGCTGCTCTGCCTTGGCATGAAAGTCGGCGTCATTACCGGGGTTCATTGACTCCATGTTTGCCACAGTTGGCACCATTGGCTTGGTAGCTGGCTTCTTCCTGGTGTTGCCTGTCTTCTGCACCGTCTTGTTGATGGTGTCTTGAGACGAAGTAATCGAAGCTGCGGGCTGTGCGCGTGGGGTCATCCTGGGAATAGTAGACGTCGCGGTAGGTTGCGCTGCAGTAATCATCGCTAGAGCAAGCTTTCGAGCAGCCGGGTTCTTCTGCGTCTTGAGCTGCTCCAGCGTCTTGCTGGCCACAGAAGGGATACTTGGGGTAATCGTGGCCCGCGAGAGCGCTGCGACGGCGTCGTCCCATGCCTGGTTGTGTCGTAGCTCATCCCAGACCTGAAACAGGTCGCCAAGGATGCTCGACTTGAGCGCGGTCATATTGACGTGGCCGTACTTCATGAGGCCGGTCGGCATGACGTCGTCCCTCTGCTCCTCGCTGATGCTAGCAGTAATCTGCCCAATGGGCCGCTTTCCGACCTTGGGGGTTTCTCCATGACGATACTTTGGATATTGCGCGAGAAAATGCTTGGTGATGTTGTATATCAGCTTCTTGCCGAGTGGTCCCAGCGTCAGATAAAATGCGATATGGATTGTGGTAGGCGGCAGGTGCTGGAACCAGCAGTCTGCGTTCTCGCATCCGTCGGGTGTCATCAATGCTCTCATGCACATCTTGTCGTCGGCGACCTGCTGGTGCAGGCCGTAGTTCCGGGAGCTGTAGGAACCATTGTACTTGATAAGCGGGAAGCTTTGACGAAGGTCATCGGGTATGTCATCGAAAGCCAGCGGAACTGGTACGTCGCGCGGGATCACCGCTCCTGGTAACACGCTGTCGACCCAGGCCTCTGGCGAGCCGGTAATCTTGATACTCTCGTAGCGGAGCTTCGGGTACAGATCTAGAATGACTGGCTCGTCATTGACGGTGTACGTCGCCTTGTCATCCTCAGAGGTGCTGTACGGTTGCTCAAGAGAGTCATAAAAAACTTGGGTAAGCCCGTTCTCGCTGCAGCTGCTGGTATCGCTTTTTGCTTCTCGGTCATCGACCCGGAGGACGGGCAGGTCGCTGATAAAGCTGGTTAGCAGAGCTTCAGTGTAGCGTGCCGAGTAGTACTTACGTCATGCTGCGAGAGGCTTCGGCAGTCATTGCGCTGTAACGACGTGGGCGACTGACTATCGTGGAGTGCGGGTGTTGTTGCCCAGGTAGTGAGCGATACAAAAAGGTGAGAGATACAAAATAGGCAGCAGCATTGTGGGGCAACGCGCGGACCACCTCTACATGGTGCAGTTTGCGGCTGGCCTTTCGGCTTCACTTGCATTTAGATGGCTACGTGAATGAGGATATATTGGAGAATCGTTGTCATTAAAGAACGCAACTGTGCAGACATGATTCGCGTGAGTAGAGGTCTGCCTAGGTGCCTTGCCAGCCTCATCTTGGTCATCAAAGACTGCTCTATGTCTTGTTATCTGTGGAGAGCCATGCCTCTAGATCCCGCCGTGCTCGGCGAAGACGCAGCTCTGCCGCTTCTGCGTAGGTCCTCGCGGCATCCACTCGCATCTTCGCAGCCTCAGACTTGTGCACTTCAGCCTGTGCCACTAGAGCCGCTGACTGTGCCTCCAGCTCTGCGGCCTGGGTCATTTTCGATGCAGCGCCTGCGTCCAGTTCATGTAATTGGAATGTAATCCACAGGTTGCGTAGGTCAGGAAGGAGGTCATTCTCGTTTATATCAGACAGCTGCGCGATCAAGTCTCTTCCGCGATCTGTATACATTAGATAAGGCTCGCCAGACGACTGGATAACCCACCATTCCTCACTTCAGAAGGGAGTCTCTCGTACGAGACATCACTCCAGGTGTCACTTTTGACTTTTTGGCCTCCACAGGGTGGTGTTTGGTCATCCCGTTCCATTGCGGTGTCAGTAGGAGGGGATTCAAGGCGCACGAGAAGGTTGTCACTTGGATTGAATCGCCGGGATCGCATGTCCCGAGGTCAGTACACTGAGATGTTTGCCGCCGACAGCGCTCGGTCAGCTCACATGAAGTGAGAGCTTCACATTAAGCAGGAACGCCGGTCACGCTCGAATTACCCCGCCATCCAGAATACAGTTAGCGCATTTGGAAATCCTAGGTGAGAGAGGATTTTCGGCGTCCACATCCGTTCGCCTGGAGCCTGGTATAGTGAAGTCCGCAACCAGCAAGCTCCTCACACTCTCCTCACACTATCCTCACACTTACACCCACCTTACACCATACCAACTGCGGAATGACCGCCAACAACGACACTAGGTGGGCAGAGGCACTGCGAGGGCTCTCGACAGCCTTCAATGACCTCCGCCTCGCCGAACCTGAACTCAACGAGCGCATCGCCGCAAATCAGGCGGAGATTACCGAGAGCTACGGCCTTTGGCAGTCAAAGCATGCCGCAGTGCACGGCGCCACGTACGACCAAGGTCTGAACGCGCTCGTGGATTACTTGCAGGACGAGCGGCCCCAAGACATGTACTTACAAGAGATGGTGCGAGAGGTACTGGTAGAGGGAGTGCAGTTCCCCATCCGTGCGCTCATCTGCCAACAGCGGGTTCGAGCTGCCCTTGAGGCAAAGCTCGCCTGCCTCGAGCGCCTCATACCCTTCATGGAAGTCATCACCGCCAAGTCCAATGACCCTCCCGCTACTAGTCAGGCTCCTCCTGCAAAGAAGCAGAAGGCAAATGTGTCTGGAGAAACTGCCAGCGTGATTACCCCACCATCCAAGAACAAGTTACCAGCATGGGCGTCGCAGCCGCAACCATACCCGAACCATGCGTCTGTAGATTCACCTGAACCGACAACCCCACTACAGCATTCTCCAGCCGGGCTGACGCAGCGACCACAATTACTGCCGATTACTCCTTCCGCACCCAGTCTTGGAGGTCCAGTCCCACCGCATCCACCGCATCCACCGCAGCTACCGCAGATTACCTTGCCTGCACCTAATGTTGAGGGCTCAACTCCGGCTTTGCCACCACCCACAAGAAACGAGATTACCTTCAAAGTCCCGGAGCAAACACTGCTTGAGCACTTCGACCGACTCACGGAAGAAATGGGTCAGACGCCTGGGCTTCTCAGAGTAGACAGGGCCCGGTTCACAGACCCGGCAGGACTCCCTTGGGAGTACTTTTCTCGATTCGTAGCACGACTACCCTCCCGCAATTACCACCGCGACACCTACTGCTATTCTACAGCGGTATGGATGTATCTCAAGCGCAACCACATCACTTTCGAAAACCAAGTTGTCAGCCCTTTCTACTTCCAGCAGGCGCAGCAGGCATTTGACGAGGCGGAAACCGAGTCGCAGGAGGTATCGGCAGATGACAGAGACGACAAGCATCGAAAGACATTGGTGCAGCAAGTGCACGCCGCGATGGTACTCGTCCAGAAGCAGAACGCTGATGACCACACGGAGAAAGATCTTGGTTTCCGGCTGAAGAACGCGACCAATTTGTACTTGAAGGTCCACGAGAACGATGTTCGCTACAGATCTGGTCTTAGGGATGAGGATGTCCTCAAAGAGATGCTAAAGGACATTCCTAATGTGCTTGCTTTGAGGATTGTCGACGAGAGCGTCGAGGCAGTGGCCCACTGGTGGAATGACGAGGGCCAGTACCGTGAACTCGACGTCATCCCGTTGACGATGTGGTCCGCCTTCGCACAGGTGCACCGAGTGGTGGAAGATCGTGTGCAAAGGGCGCGGCTGTTGGTTGTTGGCAAAACCCACCAATCCGCAACATTCACGGCTGTTGCTCAGGTCTACCAGAAGTCGGAGCTGAACCTCAAGCCGCTTTTCAAGGCAGGCAACAAAGCGGATGACCCCATTTCTCTTGATGACTAGATAGAGATGGCGACGTGGAGGAGATTACTGGGAACTATCATGGAAGCGTCCTCAATGAGTACAGATTACCGTGGAGGAGAACTGGTTGGGAACTATCTTGGAAGCGCCTTCATTAGGTGCAGATTACCGTGGAGGAGATACCTGACTGGGGGGACCATCACGGGCATTATTCAGGGCAGATTACCGTAGCAGAAAATACATGAACACATTTCTGCGTTTACTCGAATTATACTATAGCATGATCAATTTGCTGACGCTATTGGGTCTTGATTCGCACCAGGTCCAGCGTCATCAGCGTAGCCAACGCCGCATCATTCAGCGAAGCTGCTTTTTCTCCCGGCTGGGTCATTGCCTTACTGGCACCTGGGGTCTGCGCATCGGCGTGCCAGGCGATTGCGCGCTCCCAGTCATCCCAGCACAAGAGGTGGCAGTTGTCATCAAATGTTGGGGATCTTTGTCGCGCCCACATCACCGCCGTTGGCAGCAGCACAACCATTGCGCGCTGTTGAGGTACTGTCAGTCTCTGGAGCATGACCTGGCTCGTAAGCCAGATCGTGCTGGGCGTGTGATGGGAGGCGTGGTTGTCCTCTGCCGCGCCACTGACAGCCACCAAGCCGTCCCCTCCGCCGCTGTCCACCGACCCTGCTGGTGTTTGAGCAGCATCCTCGACCTGCTGACCCGGTCTGAACCCATCAAGCCAGGGCGTGAGCGCATTGCACAGTGGTGTCATCACTTCTGGGCCAAACGTGAGAGGCCCATCGTCAGCGCCAGGCGCCAATTCGTCCAGGCGCCGCTGCACTTCGTCCACGGTAATCCTGGCTTGGGTGTCGACCCCGGGCATCAAGCGATCTCGGCATCGGCGGAGCGCGTCGGGCAGCAGTTTGTATATGCGGTCGTCCGTGTCGAAGAGCTCAGCGTGGCTGTCATCGATGAAGTTAAACATGAACAAGGCATGGTCCCGCAGCATCGATATGCCGATCTGCGTCTCGCCCTCCGCAAGCTCCAGGTCATCAGATTGGCGATAGCCAAGTATACGCGCGTTGTCGAGACGGTCATGTATGTTGCTGAGCATCAGCAGGCTGCTGTTCAGTATCGATCTTATTTGGCTGACCGATACGAGCTTTAGGTACAGATAGTCGCTGTGGTAATTCCCTCCTGGTTTGTGATGTTCCGACATTAACCACCTGAGCTTTCTTGCGGCGACAGAGGTAGACTTGTAGGAGCTGATAGGGTCATCGTCTTTGTCAGCGCCGGTGTCCTCTTCCAGCTCGCTGGCGACGTCTGCATGGGGTAACAGGTAATCGGATATGTCTGCGCCGGGGCGAGACAAGTTGGCATCGAGAGAATCGTCAACGCGAACGTCTGGAGTGTCGCTAGTCATTTTGTGACCCGAACGATCGTCTTTGGAAGGTTAGCGATGGTGGCGCCGCGAGGTTGAAAGAGTCGGAGGTAGAAGGGTGCCGGCCCAGATGAGTGTAAAGCTGACGAATGGAAGGATCTGATGGGACCCGACTACATAGATCAGTACTGACCCAGAAGCACCTACCCATCGTGTGGTCGCTCCTTCAATATCAGGAAGGAGCGTTCAGAGCATCCAGCACGTGGATATCCACTCCGGCAAGAGTTGCAACTCAGAGACTGCCATTACGCTCGACTTGGTCAAATACGAGGATCTACAAGCCATATGCGAAGAGATCAAACGGGCACGTTCGTGGTTGTCGATAGTGTCTCCTTCCGCAACTGAACTACTAGCAGAACCGTACGGTTGAGAGCCAGACAACGTTGAAGCAGGTTCAGGGCGAGAGGAAGCTCTTTCCCGAAGGTGCCTGGAGGTTTTGCGATACCACCAGTCAGCGAGAAGGCTACTGCCACTCCATAAAAGGACAAACTTGTCTTATGGTTCAGTGCATGTTCTTTGTTGCATCGCGACCTCGGAGTTCGCAGCCCGCACAGTCGGACCTTCTTGTCCGACGATTGACGAGACTGCCGTACCTGCCCACTCAGCGCCCTGTCGCGTGGACCTACTGCATCGGGATTTTGCGACGACACGCACAGCTTCGATGAATAGACGATGGAAGAACAGTGCAGCGTCCAAAGATGGTAGCTGTCATGCATGCGGTGCATCGTGCCCAGAGGACAAGGTGCGTGGAGAAGTGGGGCAGACTAACCGTGAGAGGCGCGATAGTCCCGCGGCCTCTTCTTATCGTGTTGATAACAACGTTCAAGGCTCTGAGTTGACAGATGGGAATAATACAATGCGTTAATGACTTGACTGATTCGCCAATAGGCCGTGATCCGATTCGAAGAAAGATATTTGAGATCGCGCTGCGATGCCGTTGGACCGTTGATCTGACTCCAGTATATAAGACCCCGCTGGACCCTGACAGCTTTGAGCGATCAACCTTATCCGACCACCCTCACATCACATTCATCCATACTATGGCGCTCGACCGCTTGAAGCAAGCAGCCTCGCACATTACGGGTGTTGGAGAGCCACCACACCCATTTGATCCTTTGAGCGAGTCGGAGATTGAACGCGCAGTCGCTATCATCCGGAAAGAGCACAGCGATGTGTTCTTCAACGCCATCACCTTGTTAGAGCCGCGTAAAGCGGAGATGATGAATTGGCTGAAAGATCCTGAGCACACTCCACGACCACATCGAGTTGCTGATGTAGTCTGCATTGGCCGCGGCAGCAAAGTGTATGATGGACACGCAGATTTGACCGAAGGCAAGATCATCAGCTGGGCGCTGACTGATGATGTTCAGCCACTTGTACGTTAGCGAGTGTGGGAGTGCGATTTTGATCCTGCTGACTTGGATTTAGATCACAATGGAAGACCTGCAGATTGTGGAGACGATTGTGCGGAAAGACCCAAAGGTCATCGAACAATGCGGTCTGATTGGCATTCCACCAGAGGACATGCACAAAGTGTACTGCGATCCCTGGACGATTGGTTACGATGAGCGATTCGGCACCAAAGTTCGTCTCCAGCAAGCGCTCATGTACTACCGCCCACACCCCGATGACTGTCAATACACGTACCCATTGGATTTCTGCCCAATCTACAACTCCGATACCCAGGAGATCATTCACATTGACGTCCCACCAGTTCGTCGACCGCTGAATCAGGCCCCGCCAAACAACTATCACGCAGCTGCTATCGAGGCTGAAGGTGGTTTCAAGACAGATTTGAAGCCCATCAACATCACACAGCCGGAAGGCGTCTCATTTAAATTGGACGGCAGATACATCAGCTGGGCGAACTGGAAGTTCCACATTGGCTTCAACTACCGCGAGGGCTTGGTTTTGTCCAACATCACGTTCGACGACAAGGGCACCGTTCGCGATACCTTCTGGCGCCTATCGCTCGCAGAGATGGTCGTACCTTATGGCAACCCAGAACACCCACATCAGCGTAAGCACGCGTTCGATCTAGGAGAATATGGCGGTGGCTACATGACCAACTCACTTAGCCTGGGCTGTGACTGCAAGGGCGCAATTCACTACATGGACGCTGCTTTTGTCAACCGAGCGGGCCAGGCTACAACGATCAAGAATGCTATCTGCATTCATGAGGAAGATGCCGGTATCCTGTTCAAGCACACAGACTTCCGAGATGACAGTGTTACTGTTACTCGTGCTCGCAAACTCATCATCTCGCAAATCTTCACAGCTGCAAACTACGAGTACTGCGTATACTGGATCTTCCATCTTGACGGAACCATCCAGCTGGAGATCAAATTAACCGGTATCTTGAACACCTACGCGATGCTTCCAGGCGAAGATTTGAAGGGCTGGGGAACTGAGGTGTACCCCGGAGTGAACGCGCACAACCATCAACATCTCTTCTGCATGCGCATTGATCCCAATATTGATGGACCAGAGAACACCGTCTTCATGGTCGATGCGATGCGTGGCGAAGGCGAAGTCGGTAGCGCGGAAAACAAGTACGGCAACGCTTTCTACGCGAAGAAGACGAAACTCAGCACCCCTGAGCAGGCGGCAACTGACTACAATGGCGGAACGAGCAGAACATGGGAGATGGCCAATACGAACAAGCTCAACCCATACAGCAAGAAGCCAGCTTCCTACAAGCTGGTCAGCAGGGAAGTGCCTGATCTGCTACCAAAGCCTGGAAGTTTGGTATGGAAGCGCGCCGGTTTCGCGAGACATGCGGTACATGTCACGAAGTGTGAGTATCTCCAAAAGATCATATACGGAGCCCATGACTGACCTACAGTAGACGACGACACACAACTCCACCCAGCAGGCCGTCACGTCCCCCAGACTTCTGGTGAGCCATCCCAAGGCATACCCGCCTGGATCGAAGCCAACCCAAACGAAAACCTCGACAACACCGATGTCGTACTGTGGCACACATTCGGAATCACGCATTTCCCTTCACCGGAAGACTTCCCGATTATGCCTGCTGAGCCCATGACGCTACTGCTGCGACCGCGCAACTTCTTCACACGTAATCCTTGTATGGATATTCCGCCTAGCTATTGCAGCGTTCCGAGTGGTGTTAAGCAGGGAAGTACGCTTGTGGATAAGTTGAGTCGCATGGCGTTTGGGGAGGAGAAGAAGCCTGAGAGCAAGGCGGATGCGAGTTGTTGCTCGGATCAGAAGTTTGGTGCGGGCGTATGATAGAGATGCGGCATGTATGTTTAATGTAGTTTGATAGAGACTTCTCTTCGGTGAAACGATCATCAGAGCTTTCTACCTTTGTGAATGTGCCGCCCAGGCAGACCATCGCGACATGCTGCATTGCTCACAGTGCTGGCCACGTGCGGTGACGTAGTCCCACGCGAGGTGTTCGCGGGTAGTAGCTCCGCGGGTGGGCCCAAGCTTCCACCGAGTCCGCATCCGACATCTTCTCCCCTCCACGATCGTCGGCGCAGATTCCAGTCACGCACAGCAGCCGCGATGATATAGCACCGATATCGCAACGTTCTCAGCACCATCTTCATCCCACCGAGCCTGAGGATGTTCCTGCCGATTTGGACGGCCCACCATCCGAACCCGCAATGCCCCGCGCATTCCCACCCGTAGAGCAAAATGATAAAACGAAACGAGCAAACGTGCCAAGGAGCGCCCTATCTGCATCTCTGGTTGAGAGCGTAGCTGGCTTCAGCGCTGGCGTTGTCTCTTGTCTTGCTGCCCACCCACTCGACTTGCTGAAGAACCGCCTTCAACTCAACACGACCAGTCGATCGCGACCTGGCGACTCATACCGCATTCTACGAAACGTGATTCGAGATGAAGGAGGCGTACGAGCACTATACAGAGGACTATGGCCGAACCTTCTCGGCAACAGTCTGGGTTGGGGTCTATACTTTCTGTTCTACGGAAACCTTAAAGAATTGTTCCAAAGTAGGAGGCAGAAGGGCGAGCATCTGGGAAGTGCCGAGTTCTTCTCCGCAAGTATCATCGCTGGTATGTTTGGAGACACGGAACTCCTATGGGCATCGTTAACCATTCGCTAGGTCTCCTCACCGGTGCCTGCACGAATCCTATCTGGGTCGTGAAAACGCGCATGCTCGAGCGTGGCGCAAACCACCCTGCCGCATACAAGTCCATGAAGATTGGCCTCCAACACGTATACGAAACCCGAGGACTGAAGGGGCTTTGGGCAGGCTTCCTGCCTTCGTCGCTGGGTGTGCTGCACGGCGCCGTACAGTTCAGCATATACGAGAACATGAAGAAGAGAAGGGGGACGCATATCGGCGGGCAAGACAAGCTGAGCAATTGGGAATACGTCTATATGAGCGGTGGAAGCAAGCTACTTGCTGGAGCAATCACGTACCCGTACCAACCTATACGGGCGCGGTTGCAGCAATACAACGCTGCACAGCAGTATAATGGGCTGCTAGATGTGCTCAGGAAGACGTACCAGAACGAAGGGTTCCTGGCGTTTTACAAGGGGTAAGAGAGCCCCTGCGCTCTACACACCAGTGGAAAACAAGGCTAACCTTCGCAGTGTTATACCCAACACGCTACGAGTCATCCCAACAACAGTCGTCACGTTCCTAGTATACGAGAATACGAAACTATATCTACCGAAGATGTTTGCGGATGACGAGCATCAAAGCCATGATGAAGATTAGAGCCGAGAATATACGCACACATCTACCATACCGACACGCACTTTACTACACGATATATACCGATATGAAGAAGGACGTAGACGAATCAATACCACACTGTTAACGACTTCCATGCGAGATATACGAGGAAGCACCTCGACATACTCTGAAGTGAAGGCAGCCATTGCTCAGACGAATAGATTGCGGCCGGTGGAACACCAGTTGTCCGTCCTTCTGCGTTACGGGAATCAAGCTCAGCGTTTCGACTAGTGTTGCTCGGTGCTCAGACTATACTGATATCGGGCAGCTGGTGATTGACATTGCGCAGAAATTGGGTTGCGCCGTGATAGCAATCCCTACTATCAGGAGCCATCCACCTGCAGCCTCTGGAGTGAATCCGTGTGTAGTTGCCACTTCCCACAGTCTACCTGGCTCAGTATGAGCGATTCAATCAGTCTCTCTTAGGCTGCATGCGATGAATCACTTTTACACGTCAATCACAACCATTGGAAAAGCTCACCTTGGGATAGTGAATCTCAAATCATTTAACATCGAGCAAAGAATCGCCGGTGCTTCACCGCGAGAGCCATAACCAAAGTTCAACCGACACTCAGCCGCAACCAGTCTACAGTGTTTCCGCATCGAAGCTCTTCACAACCACCAACAGCGATGGCCTCATCAGACAAGCTTCAACGTAAGCCTTCCATACTCAGGATGGGCAGGAAGTCTCGGCCGGATCGTCTTACACCATCTACTAACATGCGGCCTTCGACCCCTACATCATCCGAATCTCCTGGCTCTCAACCCGAGCGTCGTCAGAATGGCTTTCGAAGATTCTTCGGTAGATCTCGCGAGCCAGAAGTACAGAATCGAGTGCTCACGCCACCATCGTCATCACCGGTACCAGCAGCGTCACCATTAATCATCTCGAGGTTCGCCAAAGCATTTGTAGACGCCCTGAACGTTACGCAGCTCTCCAATTTCCTCATCTGGATACTATACTACGAGGTCGTTGAGCTGCCGGAAACCCCAGAGGCTTGGTATGCACCAATCGACAATATGGACATGCGTGGGTGGGTTGCGCTGGGAGAGTTCCTGGCAAAGACACAAGAGGCGGGTGATGGATATGGCTTCGATCTGATTGTGTTGGACTCCATCTGTGATCGAATTCGATTATCGCGTCCGACAGTCCACACGTTATTGATTCGCTTCGCCGATCCAGAGAAGATGAAGCACAGTATTCTCGCTGCAGAAGGAAGCAAACCACCTACGCATGATGCTACAACGATGGAAGCCCTCGAGACTGCACAGTCGAAGTTGGACGACTTGCACAAGTTGGCAAACCATCTGAAGCCACAAAAAGGGTCACAGTACGAGTCGTGGCAGACGATCATTCAAGAACGTCTGCATGCATTTCTGGACATGGTAGTCGGCCCACGCATCGCTCATCTGCGTACAGGTAAGCCTCTTACAACAGTTGCAACATCAGAGCAACTCCCGAAGGAATTTACAGAAGGCATCAAGATGAACTATCTCTACGAAGCCATGCAACAGGAGCGCACTGTACCATTGGAGCGTTATGGTATTCGTCAAGGTCACAACAAACACGAACACCAGACTCTGCAATCGTCTTCATCTCCAGTGAACGACAACGAGGTCGAGCGATCACGAAACCATGCCATTGCGCTCATGGCCGAGAACCGTGAACTGCGTTCTGACATCGCTGTCCTGCTGCAGGACAAGGAGAGATTGATCAAAGCAAACGAGAAGTTGGCACAAAAGGCTTCTAAACTCGGTCGCCTACAGCCTGCAGGTTACATCCGTTCGCCTCCCTACGATGACTGGCCCGAAGACACATCAGGCAAGGAGAAGGTTAACGGCGAACAACCAATCACTTCACAAATCCCACTGCGCCCAACCCGTCCTCGTTCGGTCTCTACCGGCGATATCGAAGCCCTCGCTACAGCCCTCGAACAAGGCCTCACCATCACCACGCACCACCGCCAGAGCTCTGAGATCCTAGCTCAAAAATACGACGACGTGTTCTCCAGCTTACATTCTTCTCCCTTACCAACCCTCCGCCTCTCGGCACTCCCAGCACCATTGACGCCTTCGCCTTCATCATTCAACGGCAGTACGACTAGACCGATGACGCTGGGGAATGCGCCAAGGAGTGGCAGGCGTAGTGGCATGATCTTCGATGGAAACAAGATGGGTTACTTGGCTGGAGGAGGAACGCCAACAGCAGAGGACAGCGACGATGGGTATGTACCTGTCACACCAACACGGGAGGGGAGCAAGAGGTTTGATCTGCTGGAGTAGGTATAGGTAATCACGAGAGTAGTCGTTCCTTCGCGTTCGGCCTACATAAGACACATATTTGCCTAAACATTTGCCTAAACATAGATTCTATTACTTAATAGCTACTACTATCTCTAAACTTTTACTTTATTAATACTTTTAAGCTATAACTATAAATAATATTATTAATATATTTTACTTATATTTTAAGCTAAAAGTAAGTACTACTAAAGTACTAAGTTTTTTATAGTATTAGTATAAAGCTAGCTTATAAAAAATAGTAAAGTAAATTATTTATTACTTATTTTTTAAAGTCTACTTATAGTTATACTATATAAGTTTTACTTATATAGTTAACTAGATTCTAGATTAATAGTACTTTTATATACTTTATACTTAAAAAAGATATATACTATTTTTTTACTAATAGATAGTATCTTAACTAATATTATAGTTTTATCTATACTTATCTAATTATATTATTATATAACTAGTCTAGTTTAATTAAATTAAACTAGCGCTAGCTCTAGAATATAAAAGTCTTTATACTTTTATATTTTACTTAATAGCTTATATTCTATTATATACTTATTTAATTATATTTTTTATATTATATAAGCTTTTTTTTAAAATAAGCTAACTTTTATATATAAATTATATTCTAGTTATAAAGTAATATAGACTAATATATTTAGTATATAATACTAATAGATTACTATAGCTTATCTAAGTAAAGTATATAATACTAACTAGTTATAGTAGCTCTATATTTTATATCTCTATATTACTAATAATATAGTTTAGAATACTATTAAAAGTAGCTCTACTAGTAGTAATAGTAGTAAGCTTACTAATTCTAATAATACTTAGACTTAGTAGTAGCTTAATAAAGACTTTAATAATAAGCTAAGTAACTTTAAAACTAATTCTAATATTAGTAAAGCTAAGAAGGCCTAGCTATATAAGAAGTATAAAATTACTTTTACTAAATATTAATATACTTATAGAGTACGCTTTAAAGTAAATAATAAAGCTAATAATAATACTAATAATAGTAGTAATAAATAAAAGTATTACTATAACTCTAGATACTAGTTTCTTAAGATAGCTATTAATCTATATAGTTAGACTTTTCTTAATATAGACTAAAATAATAAAACTAATACTATTTATTTTTATTTTTTTAATATCTACTCTAGTAGTAAAGAGAAGATTCTTACTAATATAAGAACTTCTATTTAGTACTAAAATAAATAACTACTCTATTACTATATTTAGTTATATAGTTATTATTATAAATAATTATCTTAACTATAAAAAGTAAATTAAGTAGCTTAATAACTAAGTATAGCTTATAAAAAAAGCTATTAATACTTATATTAAGCGCGCTAGAGCTTAGACTAAAACTAGTATAAATATTAAAATTAAGTTACTTACTATAAAGTATGCCTATATAACTAAGCTAAAGAATAACTACTATACTAAAATTACTATTCTTAATTAAAAGCTATAAGTCTTTTATAACTCTAATATTTAACTATATACTTATATTAGTAAGCTTATAAATAATAAAAACTAGCTATAGTAGTATCTAGATATTTATATTAATAGTAGTATTAATATTAGTAGTAGCGCTACTAGTAGCTATACTTATCTTAATAATAATAGCTAGACCTTAGATTATTAGTATCTAGTTAGTTTTCTACTACTACTATCTATAACTACTAATCTATTTATTAGCTATAGTAATAATCTACTTACTATTCTATTTATAATAAACTAGTCTAGCCTACTATCTAGTTTATAGCTATCTTATCTAGCGTAATTAGTATCTAATAATCTTACTATAACTAGTATAAAGCTAAAGAATATTAAAATATTTTATAGTAACTTCTCTAACTATAATAAGTATAAGTACTAGTATTATACTATCTAGAACTTTTTTAAGAAAACTAACGTTTATACTATACTAAAAAACTAAATTAACTATATTATTAATTACTTTTATAGCTCTATAGCTTAATAAGTTAAGTATTATATATAGCTAATATATTATATAGTCTTTATTAATACTAATAAAGTTTTCTAAGTACTTAACTATATCTATAATACTACTAACTTTATTAGTAATACTACTATATTACTTTATAATAAGTTACTATAATAGAAAAATAGTAAAGCTTTTAATACTTAGATTAGCTATTTTATATCTATTATAGCTTTTATTAATATATCTAATTAAAAGCTTATTTAGTATACTATTTAACTTATAAAGTATAGTTATAATACTTTTACTTAGTACTACTTTAGTAACTTATAGAAGTAGTTTATATATAACTACTAAGCTTAGATTTAGTTACTTTACTTAACTAGTAGTAGCTCTAATACTAATAGCTTTTATAGTAGATATAGTAGTAGTAGTACTACTACTACTACTACTACTAGTAGTACTTAATTCTTTAATACTTATAATAACTATAGTTAGACTAAAATATAGCTTACTATTCTATCTAAGTAAAACTACTACTTTAAGTATAGTAGTACTTATAATACTAATAGTAAGAACTATTATACTACTAATAGTAATATACTATTTTTCTATAAGAATAGTTTTATTATTACTATTTCTAAAATTTCTACTTTTACTACTACTTTTACTTAAACTACTCTTTAGATAACTATTAAAAATAATACTTTAGTAGAAAACTAGATATTTTTAG